TCCCCCCCCCCTCCCTCTCTCTCTCCCTCCCTCCCTCAAGAGTATGCAAATCGGAATGCATCCCTGGACGCATTCCGATCCGCCTGCACCGAGGCCGCGTGCATCGAGACAATTCGCCGCGCGCAGATTTGACGCACGCAATGCGATGCTCGATGCATATTGCGGTGATCGCGAATTAATCGCGTCGGAATTATTCCGCTATTCTGTTGTGCCTCCTCCTCCTCCCCTCCCCTCCCCCCTCCCTTCGTCTTCCCTTTAAATCCGACGCGGCGACGAGCCGCCGATACGAGCGCGGCTCGTCAACGACGCGCCGCGGTAATTATGTCCGTGCGAGAATTAGCCGGTGATTAGCGACGCGATTATGCGACAGCGCTAATTAATCGTCGGAGAGGGGGGGGGGAAGGGAATCGTACGGGGGAGTCATCCGTACCTTCGCGTATCGCGTGACGTTGTGTACCGGCTGCGCTTATCAGACTTGTTTGATGACTCGTCACGTCGATTGGGTAATCTACGCGTATTTTGTGCGTAATTTAATTAATTAATTTGATTAATTATTATTTTCGGTAACTCGGGTGTGCGTAATTGCCTAAAGTATATCGCATTTACAACAACTTACAAATCTTTTAGTTTTATATATAGTTGTCAAATATTATTATTCAATATATACAGGTACAACAAATTTCATTTATAACATGTAATTTTAATCTTAATAAAATTAAGACTGATTGTTTTATAAGTAATAATAGATACAGCGAAATTAAAGAATTATATATATTCTTGTTAATTAATTTAAATCTTTTTCCTTGACTGATTTTAAACAACCACACATGACGGAAGTTGCGATAACGATAAACGAGCGTGTTTCCGGTATCGTCAATGAGTTTACGCTCGTCATAAATGTGTAACGATCACAAATTCAACCAAGCATCGTAAGCCGAGATCATTTTTAGCAGGTGATCCAGATTCGAGCTAGGGTGATATTTTCAATTTAATTATTACTTCATTAAGG